ATATATATATATATATATATATATATATATATATATATATATATACACACACACACACATATATACACAATCTGCATAAATAATGGGTTTTAAGCAAATTTAACATAGTCACTGATCAATTTGTAGAGGGAACCATAAATACCTTGTTGACCTAAATAAATCATCAAGTCAAACAAATGACTGTGGCTTTGATGAAAGAGGAAACCTGCCGTGTAAACACAGTGATTCACTGCTTTAATGATCACATCCAACAAACACTCGTCATAGGTGTGTTATGAGTGTGTGTGTGTGTGTGTGTGTGTGTTTCCTCTGTATGCACTGTGTGAATGTAAGTGTGTCACGCCAGCAAAGAAAGCATGCTGTGCAGTTGCGGCACTACTTTGCATGACACGTTATCTGGCTGTCCATCACACACACACACACACACACACACACACACACACACACACACACACACACACGCGCATGAAAATATAAATGCGTAGACAAGCATGCACACACACACAATCACACACACAATCACAATTAAGCCTCTGTTGCCTAGCTGTGAAGGATTTGACATTAGACTTCCTGCTGCAGATGCTGCTGCTAATGCTAACGCTGCACAAGCAACAGTGAAAGACAGCAACAAATATGACACAAAGATGAAGCTACAGACTGCAGGGGAGCTGCCTCCCAAGGAAGGATAATGGAGGAAAATACTCACTCTAGCGTCAGCCCTGGAATTCTCAGCCTCTCCCGCTGGGCTTTCATGGCTGAACTGTGCTCGTTTGCTCTATTGTGGTCATGATATGCATTCACGCTGCCTGCCTGCCACCCTCCCACCCCCTGCACTGACAAAGAGCCAAACCCAGCCACCACAGTGCGATGAGACGGATTGGTTTTCTCTCCCCCCACTAAAAAAGGGAGGGGGTAAAATCAGAAAAAAGGGGTATACGGTTCTTGTTTTGGTCTTTCTACTTCCCACCTTGAAGTTGTCAAATAAGATCCTCAGTAGCCTGCGGAGGGCATGGAGGCAGGACAATTCCCTCTCCTAAGCCACGCCCCCTGCTCCCTCACAAACGCATGCACATATCTGACCCCCTCCTCCACCAGCTGGTAACTTGCTACGTAGCAGAAATGAATGCAATAAATAAAATCTACATTTTGCCTTCCCCCTCTTAACACGCAGTCACCTTGACAGGATGCCAACACGGGGCACGTGCCGCACGATGCAATGCCGCCACTAGCACGGGGATGATGTCATCTTGGATAGAAAAAAACATAATGCACCACTACCTGTCACTCCACGTCAGTCAGCGTACAGCAAGACAGAATGCACTCAGGTCCTTCTCATACAGGGAATCATACAGATACAACAATAAAGAAGAGCTACAGCATGCACCCTGCAGTGGAATTTGTTTATAACATTTAACCTTTCAGGCAGCATGAAGTGAGTGTGCTTCACTCAGAGAGGCATGAGCGTGTATGCTGTGATTGTGAAGTCAAAGACTGAAACCCAGAGTCATGAAGCATGATGACGCAGCAGAGTGTCCTCGCCCCTGCAGGGATTCAAGAGACCCCAGAGGCTGCTGCTTATCATTAGTAAAACCTCCCATGAGGCATTTCATCCACATTTATTGTTGCAGAAGCTCGTTCAACATCGCCAGAAGTCAAAAACGAATCAATGACTCATGTCAATGAATCATGACTGTCCAAAGATGAAGTACTGCATGCTAAAAGAGGGGGGGCTTATTCGGATAATTCACACTACTTCAGTAGCTGCTGTGTGACGAGGCTTTTTGTTTAAACTGGAACGATGGGAGAAGTGTAGAAAGCAGGACGGACGGACAAACACTCAGCTACTGCACTCACTCACTCATCCAGTACACCAATGAATTCTTTATTACTCTGAGCATGTTTGAGGAGCAAAGAGTCACTGCAGACGACACCAAACACTGCATTAACCGTAGAACTAGTAGCGCAGGCAGGAGCTAGAGAATAACAAGATGTACAAAGCAGGCCAAGAGTCGACTACAAACTTCAAGTACACAATACTGTGGTATTACATTCTGCCACAACATGTGTCTTGGGATATGCAGTGGATTCAAAAAGAGACGTATAGTATAATAAACTAAGGACTAGTGAGACAACTTGTTCAGAGAATGTACCCTGATGTACGATCAGAGGTACACAGCGCCATAGCATGTAGCATCTTGAGGCTACATCCACATGAATACGTTTTCATTTTAAAACTGAGAACTTTTGCTACATTTATGCCTAGCGTTCATGTTTCCGGAGCCCTGAAACGAAGGCTTTTGAACATTCTCATTATGAAAGCACATACTGCAGGAGACGATGAGGCAACTATTGCAAAGAACTTTGTGAAAACAAAGATAAAGAACACTTGTTATAATTGGGGCTTGGAGAAATGTATTTTATGTTCATTGTGGAGCAGCCACTTCTTATCTTGAGCTTTTGTTTTGTTAATGCCTATCGAGTGTTTTCTTTTCTTTTGGGAAACTAAAAATATTCTTACTTATCCACAAGGCATCTAAATAAAAATGTGTTCAAAGATAATGATGCTCTCGTGTTGATGTTTAAACATTGCAACTAATAAAAACCTCGTTGTCAAATGTTCCTCCTGGTATTCACTATAAATTATATTCTGCCTCCATAATAATAATTAAATAAATAAAATAATGATTGAAACACAATCTTCAACTTGTATGAAGCCTTTTCTGGCCACGTGGGGGCAGTGCAACAAGAACCACAACAACAAAGTGTGGGCTGCAAAACCAAAACAATGAAGTGAGGAAATGCTGAGTCGGTGATAATTATCTTACAAGCGACACTTTCCCCACTGAGCGTCGTCATGTGGTCCATTGCTAATACACCAATATTGATTTGGGGCAGCTTTAAATTTGAATTGAAGTGAAAGAGTTGCTGTGGAGGCAAATCTGCCTTTGCAAAATCTGTGAACTGAGCTTATGATTGATTTCAATGCATGAAACATTATGAACATTGTTTTTTAAGAGAGAAATACCAAATATCTTGTTAGTCTTCTGCTAAACTCAAAATCAGAAGTTACTACAAGGACGAGATATTGTCCAACAAATAAATGCAATAAATAATATCATTTCTTAAAACCATTTTGCCACTGATATATTGATAATATATTAGCATAATGATGCAAGTATACCTTTTCAAAGAGGAATTAACTTTTAATTTCTAGGAATATTCAGAACTCGGAATTGGAGCGTGACAAAAATATATAAAAAAATATCCTAAATAAATAAAACTACACAAACGGAATGATATAATATATAATAAATAAAGATATAATAAAAACTCTAGTGCTCTGTTAAACATTTGCAATGTCCCCACAATGCCCAAGTCGATGTAGTAACTATTGTGACAGGCCGAGTTTGGGTTGATTGGCCGATCAATTCAGCAACAGCAAGATATATTCCATACTCAAAAAAAGGAGGTATTGTGTATATAAAAAATAACACTCATAAACCTAAAGGGTGAACGTCCAGCCTCTTTATCTGCAGCGATGAAGTTCACGACGTGTAGCCGACAACATCTGTTGAATTGAATATCACCGTAAAAAGGCCGCGTAACAGAATCTACGGTCAACAATTCCTCTTTGATATCCTGTTGCAGGGAGAGCAGCTCATGTGGTTGGACGGCACAACAGTCAAAACTGCAACCCGGCTGAGCTATGCTTGAGAAATAAGAATCTAACAAAAATGGTCAACAACTCCATACGAGTGCGCCTCGAGTTGCCAACTTATAATATTTGACCCAGCGAAAGACTCCCAGTTATTAAGGTCAGCCTATAAACAGGTTCCAGTCATCACACAACCAGAGTGACTCACGCTGAAAACAACTCCACAGATGACATCATGCTAAAAGATGCAACCCAACTCTTTCTCGTGGCAGCGGGAAAGATAATTAAACAATAAATCCTGAGACGTAACGAGCTCATGGAAAAGGCTGACCGTGGTCATGTTGACATCAGCCGGCATGCTAATGATGCAGAGCCGACATGGACGCAGAGTTAAGAGGAGTTAAGTTCTCTTTCCATGTTCCCTCCTCTCCTCCTGCACCTGTCACATTATCATGTCACTCCGTCGCCCCGTCTCACACGTCGACATCAAGTGCACGAGCGGCACAGCAGGTACAGAACAAAGCGGTAACACCAAATCTGACAAAACACGAATGCTCACTTCATTATCAACTTGACAAATTATTCCAAGAGATTTACATGAACAGCAGTCGGGATGAATTCGAAGCCGTTATCTCAACTTTTGTCGTATCGAAACACCATTTCTATGGTTACCAAGGTCACCAGAGGCTCCGGCGCTCTAAATATAAACGCGGTGCAGTTGGTGATCTCACTGCAGCACGTTGGTAATTGCTCACCTCTATTACACCGGGTAACCCCTCTGGTGAGGTGCCAGCGAGAGCAGCAAGGTGGTAAATCTTTCTCCTCCGCCACTAAATGTTTCAAACTAAAGCAAAATCGATAACCAGGAAGTATATTATGGCTTAACCTGGCTATAAACTATGTAGTTCATCATCTTTAATGTGCGGCGGCCCTGAGAGCTAAATGCACGGCAAATTAAAACGCATGCAAAGAGACAAATGAAAAAAACATCTTCACCATTCTTGAAACATAAACTTAATTTCTATCATCACACACATAAAAACCTGATCTCTGCAGTGAACCCATCCTGAGCACTGAGGAGCAGTGGGCTGCTGTAAAGCACTCAGGGGAGCAACTTAGGGTTTAGTGCCTCGCTCAAGGACACTTCCACATGCGGACGGGCGGAGCTGGAAAAGGGCGAGGACGTCCTGCTCTGGCCTCTGAGCCGCAGACGACCAATCACATGCTCAGCATTTAGAAAAAACATCCTCACCAACTTAACGACGCAGAAAAGAATTCACATTATTTGGAAAAAACTCTGCAAGAAGCTCATAATGTTAACATAAGTACAAATCTTTTCAGCAATGACGGAGAGCCGACTTCAATAAAAAAAAAAAATCCATAAACGGTAACAAGTGCTGCATGTCCCAGCCGTGTGCATCACTTTTTAGTGTCCCCTGGAAACACTACCACTTTCGTCCACAGGGACCACCAACATCAACACAAAGAGAAAGTTCCCTGTAGTAGCTTTATGGGCTGTTTCATTCATTGTACACATCCTCTCTTTCTCATGACTAAATAAACCATTATAAGAACAGATCATTATGAATTATGTATTTCACTCTGCTTTCCATATCGTGGAGGAATAAATGCAAATCCATCTACTTTTTGATTAGAAAGCAACTAATTCAAATGTAAAGCAGATCATATTTATCAAGCAATATTTAAAAAAAACATGGAAATTATTCTGTGCTCCAACACGGAGCCATTTTATAAGCAAACATCTTAAGATGACTCAGAAACTCAGAATGTGTTTCATTGGAAACAGCTGATAGACTTTTTCCATCAGATCCCTCCTGTTGTATCCAAACAGATCCCAGACAAACATGTGACTGCTGCAGAAACATCAAACACATGTCCCGTCCTCGCTACACTCTGGACAGAAATATCTCAAAGTAGAGGGTTTAGAGCTCCCCAGAGACCTGTAGTTACCGATTACCACCTTTCAGGGGTTGGGGGTTGTTATTTTTTGGCAGCTGCCTGCAGTATGTTTAATAAATATATCTCTTTTATTATCTCCTATTTTCTTTGGAAATACCCAAGAGGGACTAGCAGTGGGATGAACTTTCATGTTGAGATTAGAGATCAGATCACAGAGAGACGGTCAGTGAGGTTGAAGTTGTCTGGAGACGACGGGACACTTTGTAAATATTAAATCCATTTGTTCCAGATTCATCCAAGATGCGTTTCTTCTTGTTCACTTATTGTATTTATTCTTTATTTATGTACATTTTCAATTATCAATCTACAGAAGGAAAAAATACGACACAAATTATGAATCTAAAACCAAGTATGCATATTTAACAAATTCCATTAGAGAATATAAATAATATTTTGCTTACTGGGACGCTGATTTACATCATTTTACAGCCAATTAAATGTGATTAATTGACAGCCTCATGCATGATCATGAGTCAGAGTCTCTGAATCTAAACATCGTGCAAACGTCATCACTTCTGATTCAGCAAACAAACTGGATGAGTCACAATACGATCTGCATTAATGCTGCATATTTCATCATGAGTGCTGTTCACAGAGAAACAACCATGAGCAGATATTTGACTATTTTATGTCCTTTTTGATATATTGTATTTATACAATACTTTGACAAATCTTCATTCACGTTAGAATATAGCTGAGTTCTCTGAGAGATAAAAACAAGTTCCTTTATATATTTGAGGATTAATAGTTAAAAGAAGCAAAAAATAGTTCTGTACAACTTCCACGTAGAATATAGAGCTGGTATGTGTACCGAAATAATCTTTTTTATTTTGCTCAGTCTAGGGCGACAATAGTCCCACGTGGCCAAAGATGAATATGATAAGAAAATGGCACAACAAGGTTTTTGGTAACTATGAATCTTTTAGCGTTTTCAAAAATCCAGACTAACTATTGATAAAGGTGGGATTTTACATGTGATCTAAAAATGTCAAAGTTTTATGTTTGTACCAAATTTAAGACTTTAACCCAAACAGAACGAATAATGTTGGTTATTTTTCTTTATCACACTAAATGTAGTCTTTGGGCTTAAATAGGTTAAAAAGGTAGAACTTTGAACTTTTACACATAAACCTTTATGCAAATATTACTTGAGCTAATTTGAGTATCTGCACCAACAACATATCGTGACAACTGGATGTTGCGGTTGGACTGAAAGCAGATGTCTGTGTGTGTGACACACATCTGGGTACTTACAAACTGCCTCTTCTAGGAAGACTCAGCTCTTTCTGTAAAGGAGAAGAAAAGAGTTATGAGTACAAAAACCCAAAACAAAATCAAAATCAATCAATCAATGATACAAAGCTGGTGAATCTGCCAGATCTGATGAAACCCACATATATATTCTAGGGCTGGGCGATATGGAGACAAACAAATACCACGATATTTCTGATCAAATACCTGGATGTTGATATTGTGACAATATTGTAAACCATTGTTCTTTTCACAAAAATATTTGCACAATCATTATCTGATAAATAATCATCTTTAATGTGTATATGATTACTACGTGAGTAAAGGCGAATAAGAGAGCAACTAGAACATTCTGGTACGTGGATCACTGAACTGTAATGCAGCCTGTGAAACCAGGAAACACCACAGTATTGATATAATATCGATGTATTGCCCAGCCATACCCACATGTTTGTGTTTTTTTCCATTTATATAAATAACAGCCAGCAAGCTTGTTCCAGCTCCAGAAACACCACAAATCAATGAAGGACACTCGAACTACATTGAAATTCACAGACCAAAATAAATACAGAGAAGAATAAGGAGGAGATTGATGTTCTGTTAAAAAATAACCAACAGCTCACTATCCTGCTCCTGCTGCAGCTTTACAGCCTCACACAGAAGAAGATCCCAGAGCAGGTGTGACACCGTTACAGCTCATCCCACAGACCTGGACGACACGTTTAAAGAAAGACACTGGAAGGACAGATAACCTGAAACCTGACGTGTGCATGTTTATCTCCTTTTAGTTCATTGCATCAAAGACACAACTGTAAATGTTGCTGAAGTCAACTGCAGAAGGCAGAGTTACGCAGAGGTCCAGCACCAACAATGCCCTCATTGATTTCATGAGGGATTACGCGCTCTCACAAGGTTCTTACTAAAAAGGATAATACTGTGCTGTTCAGCTTGAAAGTAAAATGACAAAACCAATTAAGACACAGAAGAAGATATTTCTCTAAAAGCTGTCAGGAACGAGTGAGTAACACATACATTGGCTGCTGCGGCATCTGTTGATTTGTGCAGCGTGGAAACATCAGCCACAGAGACGGACCATCACTTCATCCCCCACAGAGTTAACACAAGTGTTTGTGTAATTACAGTGGTTTCTTGTGAAGAATTCAAGTTGTTTTATCGGCCTCACGACATTTCCCTCCAAAACCCTCCAGCTCTGATTATTTCTAATCTCTCCTCACTGGGTCTGTTCTCTTGCTGTAAAGAAGAGCACCGATAAACAAGCAGGCTTCGGATCAGTTTTATGTTGTGACTACAAATCCCACTGATTCGATCATCAGACATTTCATTGTCTAATAACAAGCCGATAAGGGCGAGGTCCTTTGTCTCCACCAGTGTGGGACATTGAGTAGATGTGTATTGGCTGCTCCAGTCAGCAGAAAACAGTGCTAAGCCCCACTCTCCCTTTGCTATCAATTAGGGCTTAATGTCTGGCCTCCCCTGCTGCCTGCTGAAGACCAAGGGCACAGCGCTGCCTTGGGAGACACGACCGCAGCTCACACAACACTAATTACCAGCAGGGAATGACTTACAGTTGTGGTATATCCACCAATCACAGCACACCGAACAACAGAGGGAAGTCTACAACAACGGCAGTCTGAGATTAAAAAAAATATGTTGATAGTAAACTGATTCATTGAACACATGTATTCAATGAATCAGATATTTACCTAGAGAGGAATACATGTCTTGTTTATTTACGCTTTTGATGCTCGACAGCTTTCTGACAGCTTTCTGAGTAAGCAAAGCTCGTGTAGAGAAAGCGGAACATTACCGACAGCGAGCACGTTCAAAAGTGCATCGTGTGACATGGTTTTAATGAAACGGAGTGGTGAGACGCATGCAAACACGAGCTCTCCCGCTGACTTAAGTTTGGGTTTGTCTTTTGAAACTGAAACTCTTGAGCTTAAAGATCTTCCCCAAAACATGAAAGGAACGATGATAACTCTCGTTAACAACATTAAAGCCCACTACTGGACCTGCCACTCTAATCCTCAAACTCATTAAATCCATTTACTATTTCTTTGACATTTTTAAAAATGTATTCACATTTTGTAATTGCCTCTTGTACCCTTTAATTGTTACTGGCAGGGTCCGCCACGTAATCCAGCATTACTTTTTGTATTTTTACCTCTTTGAGCATCTCTGTCACACCTCTATCGCCGTATTAATGTGAACTGAACATCTCCTCGTGCCGACTAGTTCCACAAGGAGGATTTAAAGGCCGTGGTGTTTTGGGTGATGCATTTTAAACAAGTTATTTAATTGGATTATTGTTGGTTCAGCATTTTCTCAAAGGATTCTAAGAATAAATAAATAAGACACTTTTCAATGAAATCCTTCGTCTAAAGGTTATAGTTTACTGATGATATCTAGCAAGCCTTGAGGCTCGAGTTCTTTGTAAAAATTACAAACAAACAAAACTTTTGATGACATCCAAGATTGAAATAATAGCCCCCATGTGTGTTTTTGAAAGTCAGCACAATGCTTAGCATAAAGACAAGTATTTCCATTACATTTTATGTTCCCTAAGAGGTTTAAAATCTGTCAAACAGGCGACACAAACGGAGTCATTGCGTGAAAAGCTTTCATCTTCAGAAGTTGTCCGTCAGGAGAACAAACCGGTGATGAAAGTAAACCTTGTATGTTTAATCATTGTTTATCCAGTAATCTTCTCAGCGCCGGAGAGATAACAATTGTGACACGATGAACCTGAGATGGTTTATTGTTCCACGGGATAAATGTCAATTACTGCTTTCTAGCAACAACATTTCATCCCCGCGGCGGCACATCAAAGCTGCAGCGCTGCTCTTGTAAAAAGGCCGATGTGTAATGGTTCATTCATTATTCCCTTTGATTTATTTTGGATTTTCCTACATCTCAAGATCAAAAGGGTACTTGGTTCTACGGAGGTTTGCTGCTGACTGGCAGGAAAACCTTTAAGACCTAGTGGGACAAATCAACACCTAGTGGGACAGTTACTCTGATCGCTGAGCAGATCTACTCACCGACATGTAATCAGAAGCTCGTCCAACACTTAGCAAATGGCTAACTTGAGCTACATGTTATTTTGACGGCGAGAGAGAAAGGAAGAAGTCCTACAACCCCTAAATTTATCAGCATTTTGGCACTTCCGGGTCCCTAATCTCAAATCAATGTTTTACTCAAATGCATCTTTGGTTAGATGTCTGAGATAATGTCTGTGGTGAACACAAGTTCAAGAGATTTTAAACATTTTGTTCTACGGCATAAAACATGTCAGTAAATACCCCTCTGGTGAATTTTGACTAAAGGTCGACTAAATATGATAAAAACGAACTAGAACATTTGACACAGGACTGAGTCGCAATGAAAATGAACACAAGATCCTAATTAGAGTCCTAAATTTAAAATGAAATCTGAGCTTCATCTAATCTAGATGCTGCTTCAAAGTCATAGATTTCAAGTGTGTCTGGAGATTAGGAGAGGTCACGTAGATCAATGAGGCTGCTTATCTGCTTCCAACACATGTGTAGTACAGGAGTCAGACAGAATGCATTATACAACTGATTGAAGATTATCTCAGAGTACATTTATTGACCTCACGTAGCAAACTGGACATTTACAAACAGCCAATGAATGCATTTGGACGGTACAGAATCTGACTTCTACTAACCATGACAACTACATCAGTAGATCCAAAATGACTGTCAGTCTGAAGTAATATTTCCCACCATTATGTCCGGCACTATGTGAAAGATATTGATTTCTGAGCCAGCAGGGGGAGATTCAACAGCAGAGCACACATTCAGTATTAGAAAGCTTTGCTGATTCAATCTGCCGGCATCCTCTCATTTATCCTCGGAGCAAGATGTTAGGTGTCATAAATGCTTAATCCACAGACTCATCCAGAGTTGTGAAAGGCGGAAACAATTCATTTTGAGGCTGGCAGGGAGCTTGATGTCCTGTTAACTCAATATGATCTCTCATTTTTAATGTCACGATAATGGACTCTTAAAGATGAAATAAATGGAAGATGATATTTACAACTGTAATCAGTCTTACTTCCTCTAATAACTACAGGGTTAGAAGACGTTTCTATTCTCCATCAGGAATGTCAGCTGACAGCTGGCCTTCATTCAAACAAGCGACACGTTCAAATATTTACAAACCTGTGAATTAATAAGCGAACAAGGATCTATGCATGGCAGGTCTGTTGCTGAGGAAACACAGCAGCGCCGTGTTGACTCTGAAGTTGTTTGTAAGAAGCATTCTAGAGAAATCTGCAATCAGCAACACCACAGGCCAAGCCTGTTCTGAACAGGCTTGCTTTCAAAAGCCAATGCATTAGTATTGACAAAGGAGTTACCAAAAATGTGTTGTTTAACACTGTTGGATTATGCAACATACAGTGCATCCAGAAAGTATTCACAGCGCTTCACTTTTTCCACATTTTGTTATGTTACAGCCTTATTCCAAAATGGATTAAATTCATTATTTTCCTCAACATTCTATACACATCAACCCATAATGACAAAGTGAAAACTGTTTTTTGCAAATTTTTGCAAATCTATTAAAAATAAAGAACGGAAACATAACATGTACATAAGTATTCACAGCCTTTGCCATGACACTCAAAATTTAGCTCAGGTGCATCCTGTTTCCACTGATCATCCTTGAGATGTTTCTACAACTTGATTGGAGTCCACTTGTGCTAAATTCAGTTGATTGGACATGATTTAGAAAGGCACACACCTGTCTATATAAGGTACCACAGTTGACAGTGCATATCAGAGCATAAACCAAGCCATGAAGTCCAAGGAATTATCTGTCGACCTCCGAGACAGAATTGTATCGAGGCACAGATCTGGCGAAGGGTACAGAAAAATTTCTGCAGCATTGAAAGTCCCAATGAGCACAGTGGCCTCCATCATCCGGAAATGGAAGAAGTTTGGAACCACCA